ATTGCAAAATCTATTAAAAATACTGACTAAGTATAAGAGAATAAAAAGTTAGAATAATGTTACAAAAATGAATGAGCAAATGTATCATTATATAGAAAATAGAGATAAAGATATGGAAAATACAATTTATCTATTTCATTTTACGTTAATTTTTTTTACATAAATTTTTAGTCTATACCTTTCAGTTTTTTAATTTTAATTCTTTACTATAAAATGTATGTAGTTTCTTATACCTATTATTATTTGGTTCTTTTTTTAGACCTGATGAAGGCCTGTACTTCGGGCCGAAACGTAGGCGAATATAAAAAATAAATACAATTATTTATTTTAACTATTTTATTTTGGCTGATCACCCGAACAATCCTTCTCTTCAACTTAGGAGCTTTGATTTTGTCATAATATTAAATATCATTCGATGTTACTAAGATATGGCAATTATAAAATTATTGTATAAAGTACTATTACGGAAATATCGTTGAAAGATTATCTTTAACATTTCAGACGTATAAGCTACCTTAAACAAATAATTTCAGTTTCGTAAAACTTTTCGTTTTTTGAGTGAAACTATTCACTTGCCTACTTACAAAACGTTAAGTAAAGAATTTAATCAAAATAATTAGAACCTTTTTCGAGAAAAGTATAAAATCAATGATATAAAATATCATATCCTTAAACGGAATTTCAATGAAAAATTTGCTGTAATATCCCAGTTGTATACATACCTTACACATAATTTCACTTTCATTTTTGAGTTAGACTGTTTCATTATCTACTTACGAAGCAGTGTAGAAGTTTCATTAAAGTTCTTAAACTCTTTATCGAATACATTGTTATAAAGATTAAAATCGATTTAATAGTTACATATATTGTGTGTCGTTTAAAGGAATACAATTTGCAAATATTTATTAATTGTTTAAACAATTGCTAAAATGTCATAATTTTAGTTTTGAGCTTAACTAAAAAAGATAGGCTTTTAGCCCAGTTGAAAGATTTAAATAGACATACAAAATATACAATATTTTTAGAATAAACACTATTGTAAAAACTAATTTCTTAACCTTATAACTTAGACTCAATATTTTTTTCTCTTGTAATACCTTTGAAAGCAGTCATGGATTGATAAGAATATCCAAGAGCACTTATACACGTTAGTTTATTGTTTATATAATAGTAAGAAAGTTCAATTCTATTCTCGTTTATTAATTGAGGTATAAAATGTACCAAGAAATGGTGAGGGTCTTTTAATTGCATAATAAAAAAAATAACTATTGGTAACTTTTATATAATTATTTATTTATATAAATATTTATTATGTAGCATTAAGCATATCAATAACAATAAAGTATTCGAGATAAGTTTTTTCTCCTGATAAATTCATTCGCACCAGTCTTAAGATTCTTTATCGAAAACATTGTTATAATGTGTAAAATCGATTAAATAAAGCACCATTTCCGTTAAGTGAATTTTGATTAAAACTTTGCTGTAACATCCCAAGTGTATAACCTACCTTTAATACATAATTTCGGTATTGTACAATATTTAATTTTTAGTTAGACTCTCCACATTAGTACAGATACACTCACAGAACGTTATAATCAAGTTTATTCAAAATCATTAGACCCTTTTTTGAAAAAAATATTAGAAGATTGTGCCACTTCTGGTTAGCCATTCTTAGCAAAAATTTTAATGTAGCATAAAAAAAAAATCATTTTAGTGATAAGCTGTTCTCAAACATATACATATATACCATTTTGTGAAACTTGATTATTTGGACTCATTGGATCTTGAAAAACCGTTAATAACATGGATTCAAAATTTTTCACAAATGCAATAAATATCCTTACTATATATATATTACATATATGGGTAAGTAATACTAAAAAGTAATTCACTTTTTTATAAGTTTTGCGTAATACTTTTTTATGTAATCATAAGCTCAAATTGTAAATTAGAGAGGAGGAGAACACAACAAATCTGTCGCCACCTCTGCACTGGTTTTCTTTCCCTCGCGTAATCCAATAACTTCAATCAACTAAAGCCATAATTTAGAATCAGAGCCTACCCGCCACAACATCTAGAATACCGTTGACAGGAGAACAGGAAAATAACATAATAAAACTGGATTTATCGGGCTGGTTCGTTTTAGTCTCTACCGGTGTTGGAATACTGCCTGTCTACAGGAAAGGGATTCCTGTGATTGGGTTAACGATTCAGAAACTTGTTATTGTTGATTTTTACTTTCACTTACCTGTATATGAAATATATAGTAAGGGACGGTATTCTGATCGTGAAACTTTTCGAATCTGAGTTTTCAACGGAAATACATGTTTTGAGGAATCCTGAGTCCAAATAAGCAAATCCCATAAAATGGTTTCTGTGTATGTATGTAAAGAGGTCTAGCTGAAAAACGAAAAGTTGTATGAATGTGATAGACCTGATTGATATTAAAGACAATTTAATTATACAATGATACACCGAGTTTAATCAAAATCGTTAGAGTTGTTTTTGAGAAAATTGTTAAAATGTGTTTCAGCGTTGATAGAAAGTGGCAGCACTTACAGTTATCCGATTTTAAGGAAAAGGTTGTTATATTTGGAAAATATGTAATATCTGTTTCGTACGACTTTTCGTTTTTGAGCTAGACTGCTAACATACACACACACACAGTTACACAGACCATTTTTCGGGACTTGGCTATTTGGACTCAGGGTACCCCAAAATGTGTATACCTGTTGAAAACTCAAATTCAAAAATTTTCACGATCGCAATACTTACCCTTACTGTATATTACATATATGCGTAAGTGAAAGTAAAAAATACTACTCAATTCTATCGTAATATTACCAAATTAAATTGAGTGATACGGCATAAAGAGTTTCATTCTCAAAGAGATAACCATATCCTGATATTTATGTTATTTTCGTGTTCCTAAGATTCCTTTGAAATGGGTTCTTAAAAAGGAATAGCATTAGATGTTTCAAATTGCTTTATGTACAAGTGGTAGCCTTAGGCTCGTAAGCCTTGTTAGAAGAAAGGGTACATAATATCTTGCAGTAGATGGGTGCAAAGTTCGGTGAAAGGATAAACTAGGAGCATGAAAGGAGCTGGATGAGAGATCTCCTGTCCTTATTAATTGAATTATTTAGCTCTTAATTGAAACACATGCATTATGGATCTCTCTTAGTCCAGCGTCTCCAGTCTATCATCAGTGTGTTTTCACTATGAAGTAAATATTTATACCATATACGTTGATTTTAATAACAAATATACCAATAAAAATTTTATAGAAATATATTTTAAAATTCTGCAATGATTAAATGTAAATCTCTGCTTAAGATTAACGACAGAAGCTCTATAGTACGTAAACAAAACAACTACATAACGACTTCCTACAACCAATTATCGAACAACACATACATAAATAACGAACTCGTACAACAGTAAAGACTTTGAAATTTACTTTTATTGTAAAATATAAAGTTACATTGACATAATGTTATTGAACTTCTTACAAACTAGCCTTCTGAGACCTAAACTAATGTTACAGTCTGACTGCTAAACATGGAACTGTCTGTAGGATATTTTGGAGCTAAATATATAGGAAATGATAAAGGAGGGGATGGCTTTTATTTAACTATTTCCGCGGGAAAGTTGGTGTCTTGTTAAAAGTAATAATGCACCACGCATGTGCTACCTATAAACTTTTAAATACATCTCAAACTACACGGACACAAAAGACTTACATAAGAAAAGGCCACAACTGATCTGTCTATCAGAAGGTGACTAAAAAGGAGTTGGATGAGAGATCTTCATTCATGAAACCAATTAAGTAAATAAAGACCAAGAAGAGGTATTGCTGGGTATTGTCCTTTCCTCTGCCTGAAATGTCATTTGATTCTTGTTTATTGTCACACAATGGCATCTTTTTGTCACTTTCGTCTGCGACAAAATCGAAGAGTAACAAGAAAAAATTATATACAAATATTGATCAATAAACTTACTTTCACTCACTTTGTAATCATCGATTTATCGATTTATTATCCCCACATATATTATCAAAGTAAGGCTCCAAATCGGTTTTGTACCAAATATAAGCTCCTGTCATGCTTAAATACCATGAATGGGGTACCGTTGGATTCAGAATTTCACGGGGGTTTAGCGAATCGTATTCTCCACTTTTGTATTATTTTGCTAGGCTCCAATACTGGAATAATGGTAGGTTTGTAGATCGATACGGGACAATTGAATCTTGAAAATTTTGATGCGTACAGCAACACCCAAGATAGTTCCCTCGGAACTATCGGATCCTGCATTTTTAAGCCCAAAAACGTACTATTTTCGAGATAACACAAGGGATAGGATTTGCATCCACACAATTTAACGTTAATTGTAGTACTGACATTGAATACATGTCTCATTTCGTCGACTTGAGCTCTCTATGATCGAGAGAGGAGGAGTTTATATTATTTATCGATGGTGTTTTTGATCGGCAAGCCATATCATCGTTAATTCTTCACCAAATCTCAAGATTGAGTCACCAATTTCGAAGGCTTCCTTCTCCTTCAGGCGGGCAAAATAGTCCAATCACCCCGAAAATTCAGGCAAACAAGTTATGAAAGAAAACATACTTTATTGGTGAATAACTAAATAATTACACACTTTTCGCAATGATTATGGTTATATCCATGATTATATAAAAGATTAATAAATTCCCTACAAAAGGAAAAAAATCATCGACTTCGGACAATTTTTAGCAAAGATACTTCTTATTAAAATTTTGTTGGTTCCAAACATTAACGAAGATTTAAATTAATTTCTGGTTCCTCTGTCGATTATATTTATCGATAAAGTAACCATTCATTTCTTTATCTTTTGATACTTTGCATTATTTTATTTTATATAACAACTGCAAATTTTTCGCACGGGCCTAGTATTTGTTATTATTTCTTATGATGTCAGTTTTCAAAATGTGATCCTCTTTTTGTTGCAGGTCTGTTCAGCAGAGCCATCCTGATCTCCGGCAGCCTGCTGAGCCCGTGGGGCACCGGCCAGGACCCTGGCGGGCTGCGAGCTAGGCTTGCGGCCGCCGCAGGGTGCCGCACGGAACCCCTCGCCTGCCTGAAAGCACTGCCCCCTCTGGCCCTCACCAGCCTCACGGTCCAGGCCCCTCGATTCCTCACCGCGGTGGGACCCTGGGTTCATGGGGAACCCGCCAGTGCAGTCGAGGTGGCCGGAGACCCCTTCCTCTCCTCGCGGCTCATGATCGGGACCACGACCACCGAGAGTTTCCTCGACTTCAACAGCCACGAGATCCAGTACGGCATCGAAGAAGACCAGAGGAACAGGGTCCTCAGGTAAGTTGTTTATAATATGTAAAATTTATAACCAATTTTATTTCATTTTAATTTTATATTTATATTCTACATCAATTTATGAACATCGAGGAAGCTCCTGTTATATGTCGTAACATTTTGGGTGAAATGACTGTAATTTTTTTAAGTTTATCTTTTTGTCCGAACGATAAATATCAGAGGTGCATGTCTAGGTGGGTTTGAGTAGGTAAGTGTGTGTATTTAGTTTTTGACGAATTTTCAATTTCCATTTTGAAAAAAGTGAGTACAGTATTTTCAGTTGCTTGTTATTAAGTCTATTTTTTCATTTCGATGAGTGAGGCCCGGTCATCCTTCTGTCGATTATTAGTCCCAGGTAACGTACTGCGTTTGTCTGAGGAATATGGTCCTCTCTCCTCACTTGACTTACGAAAGAAGCTTCTGATCTACAATACATACTGAGACTAATTTGGACATACAGAGCAGAACTTAGGGGTTCGGCAAATCAAATACACATAAACAAAATACAAGCAACAATGAAAAATTTCAAATAACACTATACATTACTACTTGAACATCCCAACATTAAAATCCTACATTCATGACAAATACACTTCATTTCACTCTTCAATTCTAAATTACTTCAATTCATTAGGTCTTTCTATTTCCTATCCCGTGTGGCCTGATCGACTCAGACTAAAAAGAAAATTCCCAAGGGACCTACTACAACCAATTCAAAATGAAGCTAATCAAGCAAACTCGCAACTAATCCATAATACATCAAATTTTCTCGGTGCGCTGCGTAAAATATTAAAATAAATAAACAAAGAAAAAAGAAAAAAGCTTGAAGGTGTATATATATTAAAACTATCTATTTATTGAATATTCTGTCACTTAGAAATTAGCTATAGTGAGGTTGGATTTTTATACGAAGTTGAATAAGTAAATTTATAGTTCATAAATATATGTGCTGATTGTCACTTTTAAGACTGGTGCGAACGAAAATATTAAGAAAAAAAAGATCTCGAATATTTTATTGTTTGTGATATGCTTAATACTACATAATAAATAATCATGTAGAGATGGTTGACCGTTGATATGATATGAGAAGGAATTAGTCGAGGGTGCGGTCAAATAAATAAAAAAAAATTAAAATATATAAATAATTTTAATTTTTGCCGACGTTTCGACCCACTTTGCAGGTCGTCTTCAGGGCTACAAAAGATACAAACATGTTGAAAATATAAAAATAAAATAAAAAATAAATATAATTATTTTTTATAATTATTTTATAATTATATTTTTTATAATATTTATTAATAATTATTTTTATAATTATAAATATAATTATTAATAAATATATATATATATATATTTTTTTTTTCATTCAATTAGACTACAAACCATATGTGTTGTGTACATATATGTATATATATATATATGGGTATGTATGTGTGTGTATATATATATATATATGTATGCTTGTGTGTGTATAAGATAAAGACCGGAGACCGGCGATATCAGCCTTAATACCGTCCTGAATGTAAATAAACATATGAAATGTATATAAGGAGGATTACTAAAGGAATAAAGCAGTATCTTTTCTGAAACCGTGAGTGTTGCATTTCAAGCCCTTTCCTTTCTTTTTTTTTATTGTTAGAGTCCGCCGACGCTTAACTGGTGCCGAAACCCGGGACTACGACAGGAGAACAGAGAAGTAATTTTTTTTTAAAAAGTCATTTTTTTTTCTCTTGTTTTTTTTTCTTCTCCTAGTCATAAGGAAAGAGTGAAATGCCAACAGAGGGCTTAATCAGGCCGGGAGTGTTGAGCGCCCCGGAAATCCCTCAACCTCAAGAAATTCCTCAGATACCTCAAATACCTCAGGTACCGCAGATTCCGCAGATCCAGGAGATCCCTCCCTTACCGAGGGACACATTGGCAGAAGCGCACGCTAACGCGCTGGAATGGATGAAAATAAGAGCGGCGACCACGCAGGACCTTCGAAGAGCCATTGCGGACCTGGAACGCTTCGGTGGCGAGGTAGGTGAGCTCAACCATTTCCTGAAAGGCGGAGACCGCCTCATGTCTAGAATAGAGGTAAAGGTGGCGGAGGACCTGGTAAACCTAGGGGACGCGGAAGCGTTGAAAGCGGCTCTGGTGTGCCGAGTAAGGAGGAGCATCCTGAACCAAATTCAGGCGGATGAGGAGACACCATGGCCGGTGATTAAGGAGCGACTGAAGAAGGCCTTCGGAGGAGGCAGATGGACGCCGGAGGAAGACATCTTCCAAATGTTTAGGGAGCGCCGGTCCCAACGTCAGACGAGGGGCCAGTATGCGGGGGTACTAGTGGCAAAGTACAACCGCATAACGGAGAAAATGCGCGAAACAATGAGTGTGGGAGAGGTGGAAGCCAGGATGGAGTTCCTCTCGACGATACTCAAGGTCCAGTTGGCGAAGGAAACGGGAAGGAGAGACGGATTGCCCAGGGAGAGATCATTCCTCGAGTGTGCCCAGGAAATGATCGACCTAAGCGCAAGGGAAGAAGAGACTCGGATGGACGTGGAAGAACCAGGGTGGATCCGGGTGAATGACAGACGACCCCGGACAGCCCCGATGGGTTGGAAGAGGAGAGAAACGGTACAGCCGAGCGGAGAAAAGGTCAGGATGGGTGAAAAAAGATCCGGACAAGTGAGGCCGAGGAATGGACCCCGCAGGGAAGACAGGAAATGTCATGGGTGCGGAAAGCCAGGACATTTAGTTGCACAATGTCCGCGCACTAGATGTTTCGAGTGCGGTACCGAAGGGCATATTGCTAGGCAGTGCCCGTACATATTCCGGAGGAGAGAAAGAACTCAAGACGAGCCCATGGAAGTAAACACGCAGAAGCTGACAAGACGGGCTAGGATGCAGCGGAAGGACGGATCTTCGGGAGAGGCAACCGAGGAGTCGGGAACTTCGGGGACAGAGACGGACGAACCAGGTAGCAGTGGAGGCGAAGGAGGCAGGAGCAGCCAACGGACCGAGCAGCGACGAACGGCGGCGGGGAGGAGGAAGCTGGGCGGCATCTGAGGAGTGTGGCAGCAGAGAGGCGACCGCACAGCAACATGCAACAACATCCGAGGTAAGCCATGCTGGTTGCCAATTATCGAGGTAGACGGGGGAGTAAAGTGCCTCGTGGATACCGGGAGCTCGAGCACTATTATGACCAGAGGGGCGTTAGGGAAAGTGTGCGGGAGTGAGAGGGCACTCCGGATCCAAAAATGCGATTGCCAACTAATCACTCTGGGTGGCCCCTGTAGCGTAGAGGGAGAAGCGACAATAAGACTTGATCGGTGGGCAGGAAAAGAGGGCGAACTGAAGGTACACGTAGTAAAAAACATGACTCGGGAATACCAGGTCATAGTGGGGTGCGATTTGTTGGGGCAGGTAGGGGCGAGCATTAGGAATCGTAGAGGAGCCTGGAGTGTTAGGTTGGGAAAGAAGAAGTTCGGATGTATAGGGGTCGCGAGAGAAAGAAGGGTGCGGATAGGGGCGGTGAACAGAGTGGAGGACTGGAGGAAGTTGCTACAGGAGGAGTTTAGGGACATTTTCTTCAGGGAAGGTGAGGTATTAGGGGTAACAGGGAGGACGGTGCATGAAATCCCACTGAAGCAGGATAGGGTAACTTACGTGAAAGAGAGAAGATACCCGCAGGCGTTGAGGCAGCATATTCGAGAGGAGCTAGATGGTCTAAAAGAACAAGGGATCATAGTTGATAGCACCTCACCATTCAATAGTCCCCTGTGGGCGGTGAAGAAGAAGGCAGCACCGGGGGATAATAAGGAAAAATACAGGGTGGTAGTAGACTATCGTAAATTGAACGATAACACGGTAGACGAGAAGTACCCGATCCCCAGATTCGAAGATATACTGGATAGGTTGAGTGGAGCCGTGGTCTTTAGCACGTTGGACCTTAAGGCGGGATATCACCAAATACGGATGCACCCGGAAGACCAACACAAAACAGCGTTCACATTCGAAAGGGGGCATTATGAATTCACACGAATGCCGTTTGGTCTGAAGAATGCGCCCATAACATTTCAGCGTCTGATGGACGAATTTTTGAGGGGTATCGATGACTCGGTATGTCAGGTATATATGGATGACCTGCTGATTTTTAGCAGAACGGAAACCGAACACGTGGGACATCTGAGGTCAGTATTCGAGAGGCTCCGGAAATTCGGGCTGAAATTGTCAAGCGAGAAGTCTCTGCTGGGACAAACGCGGATTAATTTTTTAGGCCACACTATCTCTAGCGAGGGGGTCAGACCGGATGCGGCAAAGGTGGAGGCGATCACAAGGATGGCGGTACCACGGGACGTGAAGGGGATCCGTAGGCTTCTTGGGACGCTGAACTACTACCGGAGATTCGTACCTGAGATGGCAGAGTATTTGGTACCCATTAACAATTTGCTGAAGAAAGGCGCGAAGATTGTGGTGACACCAGAGATGGAGAATAATATCCGAAAATGTATGAATAGGTTGCTGACAGAGCCGGTGTTAGCGTTCCCGGATTTTGAGAAGCTCTTTAATATAACCACCGATGCGAGCGAATACGCGTTAGGGGCCGTTTTGTCCCAGGGGGGGAGTGAGGGTGAACGACCGATAGCATACGCGAGCCGTCGGCTTACGGGTGCGGAATCGCGATACAGCGCTTTGGAGAGGGAGCTACTCGCGATAGTGTGGGCTATCGACCATTTCAGGCCATACGTATTTGGGAGGAAGTTTCGAGTCCACACCGACCACAAACCCCTGCAGTGGGTAGGGAAACTTAAAGAAACCTCAGCTAGGGTCACGCGATGGAAGGAAGTCCTTAGTCAATACAATATAGAGGTGGTGTATAAGCCGGGAAAGGAGAACGTGGTGGCGGACTGGCTCTCGAGGGCCATCATGATCAACGCGGTAGAAGAGGACGGGGGAGGACCATCGCGAGACGTGCGCCAATT